GCTCAGATTCAATGCAAAATTATACATAAATATGCCCACTACATAGGTCTTAGGGGCTAGAGCAGTAAGTCCTACACAAGATGAGAAAATAATATTGTAAGAGACACACAACGTGGCCCGATTAAATTGATCATAGAATTCAGGGGCAAGATGGCCTCTTCTCCAACTGTGATTGCTGAGTGGGGTTTTCTGATGGCAAACGAAGGTAAGGGCTCAGATTGGGTACGACGATGGATTCAGGACAGAAGACGACAACCCTAAATTGCTTTTCTTTTTTTAAACACATTAAACAACATTATTTTGAGACACATGAGCTAAATTCTCCCGGGGAGCCAGGAAAAGGCTGTGTCAAATCTTTCAGATCACTAGCACTATTTCGTAAATCCACATTGGTTTAAAAAGTAGAGATAGCGTCCCAAAGTAACGTGATTGGTTCCTTACGTTTTCCAGGAACATCTTAGCTGCAGATGGAGAAGACCCTTTAGACATGCAAAAATCACCTGGAAACACAGCCCTTGTTTGTTGAGCATTTACTCGTATCAGATGCTCTCTTTAAGCCTCAAAGAGCTCTGGATGATGAGTTATTCCTTTTTTAGAGATGGGGAAATGAAAGTACAGGGGACAACTTGCCCAAAGCCACTCAGCCAGGGAGGGTCAGTGTTGAGACTCGAGTCCCCGTAAGCCTCACAGCCAGGCCATCACAAAGCCCTTTCCCCAGAGGTCTGTCACTACATTTAAAGAGTCTGCTAGTGGCTAGAAGTGGTTCTGAACGAATATTCTAATTCATATGGATTTGCTATTTTAAAATGACATGGATGATTCGCTTTCCAAAAATAAAATATGCTTAAGGTTAAGATTATGCCAAACAATTTGTTATGTCTGATGATTCAGAAGGTATCTCAGGATTTTTTCAGAGCCCAGAGAATATTAATTAGCAGTATAATGATGTACATAGACATTCAGTAATTCCAGCCAAGAGAGGGCCCAGATGTTAATTTTTTTTTTTTTTTTACTGTAGGGGCCCAATTTAATCTCTAGATTGTTTTGTGCTTTTAAACTCAAGCCAAAATAGAATAACTACCCAACAGTTTCAGTGTTGTCATTCCCAAGAATACATTCACTGAAATTGACACAGCATTATTTTAAGTTTTTCCCAAAGCATTTATTTTTGCACTCTTCTGTGTGTAAATATAATATTTGTGAAAGTAGCAGACATTTGACTGTCTATATTCAACAGAAAATTTGCTATTTACGTACATGGACTTGGCATTGAACTTCAAGGATGAGACGTAGAATACTACGGAATTTTGGCATTGGGTGGGCCTCAGGGATCTAATTCCCTGTTTCTGGTTTGTGAATTCTCTTTACCTTTGCTTCAACAGCTCAGTTGAAGGTACTTTCTACTATCAGAGTAGACATGCTGACCCAGGAGTGCTCTAACTGCTAGAAAGTTTTTCCTTATACTGATTAAAATAAGCCCTGGAACCTACAACCTGGTGATCTTCACTCCTTTTACAAAGTTGCAGAGAAAAAGACCTTTATTCTTTTGAGACTCAAAAGAATAAAAATACTCAAATGAAAAAAAAAGTTGATAAAGGAACGTCTGGACGTATTAACAACAACAAAATTAAATGAGGGAAACAATTAAAATTAAATTAAAAGGAAGGAGAGGGAAAATTAAAAAAAAAAACAAACTGCAACTTGTCCAGTGTACATTTGTGGGTCACATTCTTTAACTGACTTAATTTTATTAGCTACTGCCCACCTTTCTGAGAAGTTGAGCAGAACAGTGATTGAACTGGATCCGGACGGAGACAGGAGGTTACCAGAAAGGCACAAAGACATGTATCATTCCTTTCCTGGAAACATCCCAGGGTTTAGCATCCTTTTATTAAATAAGATGTACGACAACAATTATAAAGGGTAGTTCCTCGACAATCGTGCTCCCGAAGAGAACGATAATACACACATCAGTCATGCTAACAAGAAGCAAAAGGGATCACCAACCAGTGTACCTTTCATGGTCTCCCACAGGGAAAAAAAAAAATTCTGTGCTCCTGCCTGCAAAAGCTGTTTTGAGACATTAAATGGTGGCTTCGCAGTGCTAGGGAACTGTACATCTTATGAAATCAGAATCAGAAATTAGTGGCACGAACCTTGGAGCAGGGATACTGGATAAACTTTCCATTAGGAGCTTTCTTATAAGAAAAAAACGACCTAGTTTTTAGTTACTGTCAAAACGAGGGGAAAAAAATGTCTAAAAATCTCTGGAGTACTTACTATGTGCTGTGGCTCTGGGGGTTGTTCTAGCTTAACAGTTCATGAAAAAAGACCTTGGTATTTCTGGTTCACAGATGTGTTCTCAAGTTCACTAGATCAAGCCACTGGTCA